CCCATTGTGTAGCTTTGTGCTTAACTACAAACAAACCTTAATGCACTCAATTATGACTACAATTTCTTTGTGACTCTCAGCTAAAATTATATAGGTATAGAAATAAATGACTATATTTTTGACTGAGGGTATTAGGATTGTTCTTTTATGAATGGAAGGTATATGAAAGAGCCAAATAATACAGGCCTAGAAACATTTTTAATTCGTGGTGAATGTCAAAATGTACAAGTTTGAAATAATACCTGATCTAAAATAAATATTTTCCAAACCAAAATAAGATGAATGTTTTATTATAGTTGTTTGATTTGTATAACACCAGCTTAGAGCTTTGAATCGTGAAATGTGATAACGTATCTCAATAGATTGTAGCATAGTATTCTTTGGTTGCCCTTTAGCAGCTTTTGAACGCAAACTTAAACAACGTCATTTTTACATGTTTTTAATATAAATCTATAACTGATCGGTTAACAATACCGCATTAGAAATAGTTATTGATATAATGTGACGTTGACATTCTTGTACCATATAAAGGTACTAAGCTTTATCGCTTTTAACGCGTTAATTACCACAAAATATTACATTTTTATCTGTGATTTTGGAGTATTGATTTTTGAAGATGTAATGTCTCGGTTTATATAGCATTTAGCCTTCATAACTGTTTTGGTATAAAATAATGAATCTGAGTAAAACCTCTGGCTGTATCAAAAATATTGTTGACGTGAACGTGCTTTGTATTCACTGAGTAAACTCTATTCGCTATGATATAGCTCCAGCTTATCCATCTTTGGTTAACTGATGTTCAGTGTAGTATACTGATGAGGAGTGGAATTCTCCGGAACTACTATAACTCAATAACACCGTTGATCAAAGTATAAATTGAACTGGAAATCCCTTGAACTTAGACTTCGAGATTAAATAATTTTCAGAATATTAAATTTATTTATTAAACTCTAGCTGTAATTTAAAAAATCTTAAAAATGGTTTTCGCACTTTTTTAAAATTAATAAGCATGCTTATTTCTATCCTATAGCTCGGTCTTAAGGGTCTTGTAATACTTTAATTTGATTTTAGAAAAATACTGTAACTGTTGGAACCTACTAGCTTTATAATCATTCTCATCCCATTTTTTCAAAATGTACTTTTAGAAAATATATATCGAGCAGTATCAGTAAAGTGTTAAACTTGTACCTTTATATATATATATATCTATGTGTGTATATCATTCACAAGTCCCCATCAGGTCAGCAGTAAGGTTATGGACAGCCTATTGTATAGCTTTGCACTAAACCAAACAACAAAACCTTATTCCCACAAAACTGGATTTTAAACTTATAGATTTAATAGTTAGTTACCCACGCCACAAAAAGCTCGTTGTCCTAGCTTTTATTATAATAAGTAGCGTCTGTTCTTATGGCCGAGATTTAAATACGATGTAAATGATTTTATATGCATAACTGTTTATAGTTGAAAGGGAATAAAAGTGCCTATTTTCCTGTTCTCAAACTAGTAATAACAAAATAATTTATGAAGGGCAAAAAAGTCGAACATTCCTTAGTTAGCTGTAGAATTAATTGTTTCTTGCCTTCATTATTAATTTGTTTAATCACTTTCGTTAGTTCTAAGCGAGTTAAAAGATAAGTAACTTTTTTTTTCTCTCATACATTTAGCTCAAATATTTCATAACTATTTATTATGCACTTGTCTCTTCAGGGATAAAATTTGTTATCATCGCCAATCTTTACGATTTTTCACGAGGCCAATGTAACAAATAATCCTTCAAAACTTTGTCTTAACTCTAATGGACAAGTCCAGTCAACGTGTAAGACGTAGAAATACTGAGGTTGGGAGTTTAGTTATGTAGTCGCTGTATGTAGTAGAATGTAGTTTTGTAGTTTCATATACTTAATAGGTTTTTCTGTAATAGAAAACTGCTGAAATGTAGGCTTTCGGAATAAGTGTACAAACGAAAGATCTTTTCTTGTAGATCACACTGCATTCATTCTTCTTTCACTAGCGCCCCCCTCCAGTGACTCAGTTATAAGTCTGACGGCTTATAACACTTAAAACCGAGTTTCGATAACCGTGGTGGGCACAGCACACATAGTCCATTGTGTAGCTTTGTGCTTAACAACAAACAAACAAATTATGTTTGCCAAGAAAAATAATCTTGGCAAATACAAGTTATGTGTCCGATTTTGTGATACAATGAAATTATTAAGGCATTTTTTAATGCAAAGAGTGATTGAAATTGTTTATATGAATTACTGGCAAAATTGAGTATAGAAATGGTAAAAATAGTTTTATATAATGGAAAACAATTTGTTGGGTTAAAACGTTTGTATATATTCATATGAATGCTTGTATGTGTATACCAGAGATCCACAATACGTTAAATTTATAGCTTCTTTTTTTTCTGAAATGTTGTGTTGGTTTGAAGAGTTGTGACATAAGCATTAACTAAAACATAAGCTAAATTATATTGGAATCACATTCCATTTTTTTTTTCTCTAACTATTTTTGACTTTTGTGAGGACTTTATGGATATGGAATTTCCACTGGTTTTAAGTATTAATTTATGCATCTGCAAAGCTTCACGTAGAATAGAAACATATAATACGTTTTGATTGTTGTTTATTGTTCGTTTATATGTATTTGAATGAACTTCTTATTGCTTTGATTTCGAAACCCTACCGAATACATTCTACTAAAATAATCAGAAAAGCCGGTTAAAGAAATGAACAGATGCAAAAGTAAACCAAACACATGATTTAAAGTAAGCCCAATTGATTATTGAAAGTAAGACAAAAGCATAACGTAAAGTACACTAATAAATGATCAAAGTAAAACTAAGGAGTAGTTTAAAGTAAAATTAAGGTGTTTCAAAATATTGTTCGAAAGTAAAGCTAAAAGTTAAATTTAGCAGACAGGTGTTTTAATGTAAAATCAATAAATCTTTGAATGTAACATGAACAGAGGATAGAAAGTAAATATCTAACTTAGAAACAACAAAGACTACTTCAAAAATCTTACAATTAATTATTTTTCACTAAATAAATAGAGCCGAAATCAGCCCATTTTTAAGACAATCAAGTGTTTCTCAGTTATCTTACATGATCTGTTGTATCAGCTCATTTTCAATATTTAAAACAGTGATCATTTTTTGATTAAGTATGTTAGAAGTGATTGGAGGTCATGGGTGAATTATGTAGTAAACATCTGTGTTTTATTCATAGCCTTTTCAGGGCTATGCATTGTAAAGTACTGTAGAATAAGAATACATACATAATATTTGAATAAATTATTATTTTTCTTGAACGAAAAAAACAATTGTTATTTCGTCCGTTCTTTAAACCACAAATGCGCTCGTGTCAAATTAAAAAAAGAAAATTTTTATTAAAATATCACATTAACTCACCTTCCGAAGACACCCCGTCTCAACTTGTCGCACTTTTTCCATACTTGTTATTATATTAATATTCATGAGAATAGTGTGTTATGTAAAGATCACGATATTATCACGCTCGATAACGCACTATTTTGATTACAAATGTACTTATTAAAGTAACAGATAAAATATCTATTTTATGACATGGCTTTCTTGCTTATATCGTTAAAGGGTTCACGAGATAGTTTACTTAATATAATTCATGAAGACACCGTATTATGAATTTTAACAATGGTTTTCTTCTTTTCAAAATCAGTGGAGAAGTGTAAAACAGGTGGAAATCGATGGCTTTTATTCACTTCGGATTTCTCCGGCTGCCGTGTTTACCCATTGAAACAGAAACTAAGTTCTCATTCTCTCATTTATTACGTTCTACATGGCAACTGCATTACGGTTAACTCTTCATATAAATATTGAATCTATGCATTCCTGGCACTGCATATCAATTTTGAAATTCCATATCAAAATTTAATTGGGTGTGGTTAAGCTAAGGTGTTTCAGATATTTGTTTTTATCAAGTGAAGAAAAATAAGCAAATTACCATTTAGTTCAAATTGCAAAAACGAAATTCTCGGTATTAAAATGTTTTTAACAGAAAACAACTTCGAATGAGAGTTTAACATGTGATGTTCCCGGTGGGAAAGCGGTAAGCCAACGGACTTACAACACCAAAATCCGGAGTTTGGTTCCCCGCGGTGTACACGGCAGATAGTCCATTGAGGCTTTGTTCTAAAAAACAAATTAACATGTTACTTTACGTGGTTTTACTGTTCCTCTTGACTTGTGTATATGAAAATCTCAACGAAATCTCATCATTTCGAAAATCATTTTCAATATGTAAATTTAATCAACAGTTTTCGCTGTTCTAAAAACTGTAACTTAACAAACACGTCATTTTACA